CCATCAACAGATTATTAAAACCTTGAAGTCTGTCCACATTACCAGCTTCAACACAGCTCTAGCACATTCTTAGGATTTTTTTTCTCCTTATAAACTGAAAATAAGGCATCACATTCTTACCTTGCTACATGTTTCTTCCATATCACTTCCTGATCCACCCAGTTTTACTGGTTCTTCTCTCTCCCGCTTCTGTATTTGACTCTACATCTTTGATTAAATTGGTGTAAAATATGAAATCTTTCATTTGCATAGTTGAACCTATTCCCCACCCATTTATTTAAATCTTGCTTTAGTTCACTACGCCCCATTATTCTCAATATAGTAAATGACTCCCTTAGCACTGGTTCTGTACCAACGATCCTTTAAATTGTCCAGAGCCATGTTGGGTTTTTTTAGTTTTTTTTTGGTACTGGGGGTGATGGCAACAGTTTTAACAACTTTTGCCCCTTACCCTCCCTTGCCAAGTTCCTCAAATGAGTTGTGATAGCTGCGTTACATAACCACCTGGCTTTAAATAACCTATTTGAACCCGTCCAATCTGGTTTTCGGCAACTGCACAGCACAGAAACCACCGTGGTCAAAGTCACAAATGATCTTCTGTTAGCTTCTGATTCTGGCTCACTAACTTCTTATTCTACTGGATCTTAGTTCTGCCTTTGAAACTGTAGATCACAATCTTTTACTCTCTTGCTTCTACAATATGTACAAAATTCTGCAGCCAGAATCCTCACTAGGTCCGGTACAGGTGACCATATTACCCCTATCCCTGGAATCCTTGCACCTACCCATCAGGTTTTTCATAGACTTTAATATCCTCTGCTCACATTTTGTAAAGCGCTGCGCAAACTGTTGCGCTATATAAATCCTGTATAATAATAATATAAGGCTTTTCATGGCTTGGCACACAGTTATCTGTCTGAACTTTTAACCAGGTAATAACTTACTTACCCTTGTAACCTCTGCTCAAATTCTGGTTTTCTGTGTGTCCCCCCCTACTCACCTACAATCGATGAGACAGCCTTCTCCTGCTATGCTCCAAAAATCTGGAATTCTCTTCCAAGGAACATCATCAAAGAGTCATCTTTTCTAAACTCATTCAAATCAAATCTAAAAATGTTTTAGACAAGCTTTCACATAATGGTACTTTTTTTCCTTAGTTTCATCCTGTGTATTTCTTGTTTGTTTTCTTTGTAAGGAACTTTAGGAAGCTACCTTTAAAGGCGCTATATAAAATAAAGTTTATTATTATTACTATAAACTCCTAAAATGTTCCTCAACATATCAAATGCCTGCCTGCAGTAGGGTCTGAGGGTACCCTTCTTCACACATTTTGGGAATGTCCGAAATTTAAAGAATTTTGAACAATGGTAGCTTTCTTATTACATTAGATGGCAGGTTTCTTATTACATGAGAAAGCTTTCTTATTACAGCAGCTGTTATGGTAGCTTTCTTATTACATGAAACCCCACTATTTATCAAAAATACAAAAATTCACTCTTAAAACATCTTTAAACTGCTGTGAAAGTGTGTATCCCAGTATTGTGGAAAAGTACCACCCCGCCAACCAGACCCGACTAGGATAACTGAAATCTACCAAAATGGAAACCTTCCTATGGTGCTGAAAGAGCAGGACAAGAAATAATGGAAAGTCTGTACCCACTTTTTCATTTACAAAGGACAAACCCCCTCCTTGCCTCCCAACAATAGCATCACCATCAACTTGATTCACAGAGCTCTTCCTTTATGCCATGTGGAGTGACCGGGTCCCCCTTGTCCCTTTCTTCTTTCACCCACTTCCCGTTTATTTTTTGATTTTTTGTTGTTATTTCCTACTCTCCTCTTTCCCCCAATCATTTCTGCCTTCTTTCTACCTTCTACCACTTGAACCTAGATAGACCCTAGAGTTCTGCTATGTTAAAACAATTACAAATGTAAGAAAAAGTGTTACTTGCAGACAATCACGGCATAGATTCAATATAACATAAGTTACATACTATAACATTACATACTAAAATACAAAAGTACATTTAGGGACGTGCTTTGTTAGTCATGTGATCAACTTGCTTTGTATTGTGTGCTCTTTCATGGTCATGAACTGTTCCGTGGAATGGTCATGCGATTTCTGTTAAAATAAAGAATTTATTTAAAAAAAAAAAAAAAAAAAAAACATTAAAGATGACTACAGATGGATCAAAATTCAGCCGGTTCAGCAGTGACCGGCTGAATTTCAATACATTTATGGCTGTTCCTGCCTGTCAGAAGTTGATATAATGACCAACTTCTGTGGAACGAGACTGCTGGAAAACCTCTGTGGATCAGTGGCAGCAAAGAAGTCCCACTGTCAGAATACATTGTCACAGTGGGCAGGATTTCTCCATCCACCTTGCATGGGTTAATAAGGGAATCCTTGCTTTTTTTTGCTGATCAAAAAAAAAAAAAAAAGTCTATGGCTTTTAGGCTTAGTAGCAGGGCTGTCTGTCTGCCCTCTCCCATTCCTTCAGTGGGCCACTGGGCTGCACATCAGGTGTACAGTTCATAGGTCAGCCACAGGAGCACACAATAATTGTTACTGGAGGGATTCCCAGGTACGAAACTTTGCAACAGATTAACAAAAAACAATTTTCTTTATAAAACAGTGAAGCATGATGCCAAGCATGATAAAAATAGACTTAGGATCTACATACACTTTAGGCAAACCCAATAAAATATATATAGTTATTTTGTAGTTTAATAAAAAAAAGGCATATTTTTATAATTAATTAGAAAATACATTTGCCACATTTTATTCTAGAAACATAGTTTTGGTGGCATCATAAATGGGACAAATCACACATTAAAGAAGTACTTTAAATCTACAGTTACATTAGTTGCTTTTAAAAATGAACACTGCAAATTTATTTTTACGTTTATGCCTTTGACATGTTTTGACTATTGTAACTCCCTCCTCATTGGCCTACCCCATCGCAGGCTATCCCCTCTTCAGTCTATCATGAATGCTGCTGCCAGACTCATCCACCTTACTAACCCTTCTGTATCAGCCACCCCTCTCTGCCAATCCCTCCACTGGCTTCCCATTGCCCAACCGATACAATTCAAAACATTAACAATAACATATAAAGCCATTTATAACTCTGCCCCAAATTACATCACCGATCTTGTCTCCAAATATCACCCAAACCGCACTCTCCGCTCCTTGCACGACCTCCTGCTCTCTAGCTCCCTTGTCTCCTCCTCCCATGCTCGTCTCCAAGACTTCTCCAGAGCATCCCCTATCCTCCGGAATTCTCTACCCCAATTTATCAGACTATCGCCTACACTGCTCACTTTTAGGTGATCTCTGAAAACCTCTCTCTTCAGGGAAGCCTATCCTGCCCTCAGCTAATAATGGAACCTTCTACTCTTCCTACCAGTCCATCCCCCACACTTACTACCTTTTGTACCACTAGCCCCTCCCTCCTAGATTGTAAGCTCCAAGGAGCAGAGCCCTCCTATCCCTCTTGTATTGTTGCTGTATTGTCTCCCATTATATTGTAAAGCGCTGAGCAAACTGTTGGCGCTATATAAATCCTGTATAATAATAATAATGTATGACAAGTAGTAACAAAGTTATTCTCATATTAAAAGGTCCATAGCTGAAGTGTCAAATGGCTCTGGAACTGGTTAAAAAGACAGGATAGTAGACAAGGCCTTTTGAGATGACAGAGCAGTAGCAAGAGGGCTGTAAAAAAATAACTATTTGCTGCAGCATACATTTGAAGACTAAAAACAGTCCAAAACACGTCAACTGGCATTGCCACTTGTATGCTGAAATTGCAAATAGAGTTATTTTTTTTCACCTGATATGCCATCATTTTCTACTTACCACAAAAAGTGAAGAGAAGTACTCTCTTTAGGAAACTGGTGGGAAAATGTTTTAAGGAGAAGTACAGCCAAAGCTCTTTTGGCTGTGCTTCTCCTGTGGATCACAGGAGTGCAGTTTGTTCTGTGACGTCACTCAGCTGGTCCAGGCTGGGGCGAGATCCCAACTTAAAAGTCAGGATTCACCCCAGAGTCTGGAGTGGCACCTGGCTCAGTCTCTCAGCAAGCAATCAGAGCCTGAGGCAGCCACTCCCTTCCCCTCCGCAGCCCAGCACTCCAGTGAGCTCAGAGTGGCTGTGAGAACTCAGCCGTCATGTGATCGATGAGTTCTTACACTTAGAGCCGGCGGGGGATAGATGCAACATTGGACCAATGCTGCAGTCACCTCTTAGGTAAATATAAATGGGGGGGAGGAGGAGAATCCACACCTCTCGTTTAAGTAGAGTAATCTTGTTTCAAATAGAAGTTCACCTTTCGTGACATGTTACACCCATATTCAGGGTGTAACAAGTAACAGATTATGATCAGACTGGCCCCAGCTCCCCACTTTGACAGCAAGCGGGGAATCTTCTCCCCACTCATTACCTGTCAAATTAGAAAAAAAAAAAAAAAGTGGCCGTGCGGGGCTCCGCCTGCCTGGCCGCCTCACTCATTCACAGTCGTCTATGAATGAGAGACTACAAGTACCGACAGCCTTAGCGGCTGTCAGCTTGTAGTCCTCAATGAACTACCACAGTGCTGTGGAGCACTATGGTAGTACATCCTGTACGGACAAGCAGATATACTGACAGATCTGCAGAAGACCTGCATGACACCAGCAATCTGCTGATCACTTGTGCAATGCTTTACAGGCTCCTGCAGACAAAAATAATAAATACACTTTTTTTACCTGCAAAAAAAAAGTGCATTATTTTTTACTAAAAGGTGAACTTATCCTTTAAATCTAAGGCCTCCAGTGTTTAAAAAACCCCTCCTAATTATTTTGCACTTTCACTTTAAGTTTTTGATACGACAGCAGTATATTATACAAAATACAATAATGCAAAAAAAGAAATTGTTAACTCTTTTAATGTTGCAAAATATGTAACAAAATAGTATTGAGCATAAATAACTAAGCTGAAAGAGATGCAAAATTAGTTTACCATGCATTCTTCTCGATGTTTTCTTAGTGTGCACACATCAACTTGCAAAGTCTTTTGATGTAACACCGCAAGGGATACAGGTGCCAAAAACATTTCATTGAACACTACAATGTCTGATGAATCCACAGTTCTTGTACGGAACAAGCAGATTGTATTTTCAGAACAGGGAAGAATGGCAACACGGACATATCTATAAATAAATGCATTAAAATCAGTGAAACAAAATTTCTAAATATTTTTCATTTTTAGAATGATAAAAAAAATTACAGCAAAAGCAAAGAATACTAAAATGAAAATGTTATACAAACAAAGCTATATATTTAATCCTTTAGTGACATGTTCCTTTAAAGAGTTTTAGCACAGTAGTATAAAAAAGGGTAAGCTTCTTTTAGTTTGTGACGTGCACAACTACACGAGTCATTCACTTACGCCAACATATTTCTACTGACTGAGACCAATTCTGGTATTCCTGACAATTCAGCACAGGTCTGCCTTCTAAAGTTATGCTGAAATCCACTGATTTCACTGGATGTCCGGGCCAAACCCTGTTAACAGTTCTGATCCACTTTGTCCTCTTGAGTCAACAACAGAGGGGTTCCAATAGGAATGCAGTATATGACTGCCACAATGAACATGTGTTTTTCACCTTTTCTACAATACAAATGCTCATAGAGCAAACAAATCTACACACTCTCATGCAAGAATGAAACAAAATTTGTGGGGAAAAAAGATCAAGAACAACTAATCCCTTTTGATTCATTGGTTGAAATGTTGAAAGGAAAATTATAATTAACATATTGAAGGGTAACTGCATAAATGTTAAAGACAGATGTTTCTCTGCTAGTGCATCTGTGAAGGTTCTTTTTTGCTCAGGTCATGGTTTACATAGTAGTAGTTAGTCACTTTGAACTGGACCGCTGAAACATCTTCAACATTACAACATGCGCTCACAAATTTAGGCTGGGGGTTACCACCACTCCATATTTTCCTGGTTAACCACCACTGCCTAAAAACCTCAAGATTGGTCTTGAAGAGGTTGCGACAGTAAAAAGTGTTGGGTTGGAGTTTCGTGACGCCATCCTGCACACAACCCAAGCTCGCAGCAGGCAGAGCGGTGGAACCAGGACCAGAGAAATGAGCAAGTGTTATACCTTAGTGCTGGGAGACACCACATGGCAATGTGAGTTATACGGTTTTTAAGAGGTTTTCATATAAAAAGTGTTTTTATGGTTTGGCACTTTCTATTGCTTCTTCCTGTGACTTGCATGAGTGTACGAGCTGAGGTGGTGGCAGTGGTGGTTAACCAGGCAAATATGGAGTGGAGGAGTGGTGGTAACCCCTGACCTTCATTTGTGTGCGCATGTCGTAATGATGAAGATGTTTCTCTATTAGACAAAGTATTTTAACAACTGATGGTGACCGATCTTGAGAATCTTGAGCAGTGGTGGATTACCCACGCAGATATGGAGTGGAGGAGTGATAGTAACCCCCAACCTTCATTTGTGAGCACAAGTTGACTCAGGGCATAGCAGGTCTTACCTGGTGAGTGAGTAGTGTGGGTGCAGGCTATCTACATGGTGAAGGACACTGAAGGCATGGAGGGATGGCAAGAGCACTGTAGCCTGAATGTGTACTGTTGCACTGAATTGGACACTTGAAGGTTACAAAGCAAGGAACACTTTTATATGAATTTAACACATATATTAATTTGTAAGGAACAGAGCACTTTATAGGGATATTTATGCACTTTGCTGATGAATTTGAGGCTAGTTTTGCACATATATGAATTTGATACGATATAGGGTATTTATGTACATATGAATTGGAGACAAGACATGGTAAACACTTTACTAGTATAAAAGCACTCTACATTTGTATATTTGGATTATCAGTGGTCACAATAACGGTGATCTGTTACAGCAGCTGATGTGAATTAGTGATCGTGCGGATGAAAAAGTAGAAAAAACACCCTTGATGCCACCTTGAAGAAAGAGAAATACCTGGCTGAAATCTTCTGTACAAACTGACACTTTGAGGATTGTTGATCTTCTGTAGGGCCCAGTTGTTCATCCCAGTAACCTCATTGCCACTACACAGATCAGCAGGAAGCACCACTAAGTGATACAGATGACCAGGAGATCTAAAGTCCTGGAAGGGTGAGTTTCTTCAGAAGACTTCAGCCAGATATTACATTACACAGCATTCAGTGGTGCAGGCAGGCAGGGGGTGAGGGTTGGCTGAAGACGCTGCACACAGGTGGTTTTTTTTACATCATGCATAGAATACATGAAGGTAAAAAAACTTTGAGCCTTTAAAACCACTTTGATAATAAAACCTGGAAGCTGGTTTTTATGGAGAGTTGCACCAGATTTTGCACACTCCAATTTGAGTGAATAACCCCCAGTATGTTGCAGTGTGCAAGTTTCCACCTATTACTTTGAGATGATTACTTCAGAGTATGAGAAGCACTGACAAGACCTGATACGTAAAGCAGGGACAGCTGACAATCTTACAGCGGAGCTATACAGGTGAACATAAGCAACACCAGAAACACAGGCAAAATGCATTGTGTTAAATCATAACAAGCTAAGCTTTTAATACATGTGGAAAAAGTAAGATTTTTAAAACCTATGCCATACTTACAAAGTCTTGTCCTGTTGTAGCAATAAAGCGGGTGAATTATCTAAGTGAATAATAAATATAGCAAACACTTGCTTTTTCTGTTCATACCTGCAAATGGTAGCAGAAAATTAATTACTAAAAAAAAAAAAAGACTTGATTTTACTGCAATATGTAAATCAGTTCAATATTTTAAGGTCAGCATAAAACTGCCCCCCAAACTATCCCACCCAAATTGCATAAGCAAGGAGAATAAGAAGATAACTTTGGTGCTGATCAACCTACAGATCAGCTGCCATTTGTTGATCCTAGGACATACTTTCTATTTTGGTACATACATTTTGTATTTCTTTATTATCTACATTAGCATGGCATGTTTACATTTTTCAGAAATGTAAACAGTTGCAGTATACAGAAAATCTTTACAGGAAACATAAGCATCATGTGCACAATATACAGTATATCAAACAATAAGATTTATGCTAATACAATCTGTGTTGCATTTTGAAAACCAAAAATAAAGTTTCTCCAATACTGCATAACTGATGTCAACAACAAACTATTCTTACTTCATTCCGATATTGATTCTTGCAGTAGCCAAAGTCCTTGCATCCTCATTTTCAAAATCAACAAGTTCCAACACCTGCCTGAAGAATGCACAATAATATTTATCTATAAGATAGCATCTATTTAGATCTCAACAATAAATGCAGCATATCTAAACAGAAGTAATAGAATGCAATAGTAGTTCTACAGATGAGGGAAGGAAAAGAAAGAAAAAAAAAAAATGAGGAGGAGGTGAGCCTGAGTAATTGTGACAGGGGTTCCACGTTTTGAGAAATCTAAAAATATCTGTAAAAATCGATATTATTATAATATCAGAAAATACTATCTGTAAATGCTTTTCTGTTGACCATTATCAATTCAGAAATTAACTATGTGTTTTCCATGATCTGGCAGTATGTCTATTTTGTTGCCATAAAAATTAACTCTAGCAGTTGAAAGTCCATAAGAAATACAGATGAGAATACAAGTAAAATAAATATTAAAACTTACATTTAATAACCAGTAACTACCTCCATGAATAGTAAACACAACCCCATAGACTTTGATTTTTGTAATACAAGATCAATTTCTGGCCTGGCAGCAATAGTGTTGTCGGTTCGAATCCCAACCATTGCACTACCTGTCTGGGGTTTGCATGTTCTTCCTGTGCCTGTGTGGGTTTCCTCCAGTTTCTTTCCACACTTCAAAGACATGCTGGTAGGTAAATCAGCTCTAGTATGAGCATGTATGAATGTGAGTTAGGCTCTGTTCACACTACTGTGATGTGGTTATGTTGTGCAACTTTGGTTGTGTTTTGGATGTGGTTTGCACACTTTGGTGCCACCAATGTAGCACAGGAACTTTTCCCAAAGCTGCATCACAGCTGCGCTGCACTGCTGTGAACAAGCACCATTGGAAGCAATGTTATTTCCATTGTCATGCGATTCAGTGTGAACCAAGGCCTTAGTGAACTTATATTGTAAACTCCTTGAGGGCATGAACTGATGTGAATGTACAACATATACATTATGTAAATTATTGGCACTATAAGTGATTTTCCTTCACTTCCTACCAGGAAAGAAAGTAATGGGACATCCCTCCAACAAGGTCACAGACAAAAAACACATTTTTAGTATGGTGAGGAGGGGTTAAGACGTTTGACAACAATTTAGTAAAGTTTGTGTGCCTTCCTGTCCCAGTATAAAAGCAAAGCAGAACCAGAAGAGGAAATTTTGATAATATTTGGAAATAATTGTTTATAAAACACTGGATCAATATGCATAATCAGTCTAACATTCAGAACAGAGGGAAACCACCTCTTGGCTGCCTGTCAGACTCTGTAATTCTCTTTGAGGTACAACAGTGACTTCCACATAAAACTGTGGTTGATATATGGGTTTGTGTGTGTTATATATATATATATATATATATATATATATATATATATATATATATATATATATATATGCTGTCCTTGGCAGCAAACCAAGTGTATTAGGGTTCATAAAAAAAACAAACACATTAAAGCATGGAAATGAACATTCCACTTTTGATTTGTGTCTTATTCATAAATCAAAAGAAGAACTGTCCTGTGAATCTGGTTGTGCTACATTTAAAGTTTCAGACTGTAAAAGGTACCTTTGTGTTGTTGCTTCATATACACCACTGTCTCCAGCCACAGACTCATCTGATACCGCTGCTGATACAGCAGAAACTTCCAACCCAGGCAATGGAAAGCAACCTAAACCTGTAAACAAAAAACAATAACATACAGGATAATACATCATATGCTGTAAATTCTACGAATATTAAGAGTCATTGAGTAAATAAATGTATAAGAAAGCACACGATGATGCTTTAAATAATGTGAAGGTCAGCAAACTGTAAGGTCAATCCCAATATAGTGATCTTAATGCATTGAGCAAATCATTGTTAATATCCCTTCAACGAGAACACAGACTGGTGGAGAGTTTGATAGACAAAAACTACCAATGTTCCTGGTAAATTATAAAAGATAATGTTACACCGAGTAAATAGCTACCCAACATGTCATGCTTTAAAGTGCATATGCCCATGGAACAGCAACAAGCGGCGGTACATGAAATTAGCCATAGACAACTCTTTAAAAGCCTTTACAGGTTACAAGATCAGCATTATTGCTCTCACTCTGATGTCCACAGCACACCTCATATGTGTTCGGATCAATGTGTACATGTACATGCAGGACCTACTTGTACATTCGCATTTGCGCATGGGCATGGGGAGACAGGGGAGCTTTAATATTTCTATTAGTTTTATTTAAATTGACTTTTTTACACTGTCTCTATTTTTTTTTTTAATCAGCTTTACTGCCATCAAATGCCATCAAAGATGCCTTCAGAAGCGTCTGATCAAACCAAGATCAGATGCTTGTGTGGTCAGTAATAGCTTGTAAAGTGGACGTGATGAGATTCTTAGCCCTAAAGCCTTGAGCACATGATGAGAATAGCAAACGCATGATCGTGTTTTTTTTTTTTTTTTTGCATGCTAGCCTCATACCGAAAGTGAAGCAGTTACTAAAGTTATGAAAATTATTGTATGACAGAGTAAAAAGCGATGATATGTATTGTATTCTATTTTCAGACTAAAACTGTACTGATTAACCACTTGCATTCCGGGCACTTTTACCCCCTTCATGCCAAGGCCAATTTTCAGTGCTGTCACACTTTTAATGACAATTGCGCGGTCATGCAACATTGTACCCATATGAAATTTGTATAATTTGTTTCTCCGTTTCTTTTTTTCTTATTCTTCTCGTTTATTTGTAAACAGTATTTGAACACAGAGGTACAGTGCTACATGTCTGGTTCCTAAACTGTTGAAGACCTATTTCATTTTTTCGTTATTTGTGCTAATGACCATGTCCGTCTTCTCATCAAGTATATAACAAACCTTGTATTGGAATTTACATGTTAAACACTATGACCAGTATTTACATTTGTACCCTATCTTTTTTCAATAAACACTGATTTGAATAATTGTAATGTTAGATATAGAATACCTGTTCATCTTTCAAGAATTTCAATGTCCTTGTAACTTTGTGTGCTGAATTGATATCTGGAACAATGTTATCAGCCATCCCAGCTGTCTTTTGTAAACTGCACAACACTTTCACTCTATGTAATGGAGATTAAGAGAGAAGAAGGTGGCTGTAGCCTAAATCAGAGGAGCAGCCAAGAGAAACAGAGCTGCTGAGGGAGCACTGTCACCCTAGGACAGGAAGTATGTTTCTGTCAGGATTAACAGGCAAAAATAATGGAAGCTTTCTGGGAAAAAAATAATGGAAAAAGCAAAGGCAAAATAAAAGGAAGCCACCACATCTAAGGCCTAGTAAGCTGCAATATATGTGCTCTGCACATATGCAGAAAATAAACAGACTCACGGTAGATGAGACACTCTCAGGGTTTGAAATGAGGAACCATATAAAAAGTAGTGTGTTGTGCACATAATGTTTTGCCAGGCTGCAGCACACCTTTATCAAGGCCACATATCAACGCCATAAAAAAAATGGGTTGTGTCCCCCTGAAATGTTAGACATACAATAAATTGTACCTTTTATTTGGTACTTTTTGTCATGTCCGAAAGTGCCTCATCTATTTGAGATAGAAAAAAAAGGGAGAGCAGAAAAGGGGTGAGCTGTTCTGGGAAGGTAAAATAAACGGGGTTCAAACAGAGTTATGAAGAAATAAAGTATTCAAGGAAAGGATGCTGCATAACCTGTGAACTTGATAAAGGACAGGAATGCCTGAAACTGATGTTAAAAAAAAATCCATTTTGTGTGTATCTATCTATCTATCTATCTATCTATCTATAACCACACATATACACATTTGTTTTTCTTTACCTTGTCCAGTAGGGTTGCCTTCTATTTCATGTTCATAGCTTCCATCTATTGGCTTCTTCACTGGCTCAGCAGCAAGACCAAGTTCTAAAAATTGCCTGCTTAAATCAAAATCTTTAAAGTCCATATGGCTCAAGAAATCATCTCCAGTCAAAAGAGACCCAGTTACAAGTGGTGAAGAAGGAGGAGATGGGGAGGAAAAAGATGATCTAGGAGATAAAGATGTCACAGATTTAGGAGTACCAGACAAAGATCTCAAGGCCTGGACACGGTTTGTTGAATCTGTGTTTTGCGACTTTACTACTTCATTTTCATGAATAGTGGTGATAGAGTCAGATGGTCTATAACCAGATGTCCCTTCTTGTAGCATAAATTCAACTTTGTTCTGGTATTCAGTATCAAGCTGATCCAAAGGTTCATAGTACAGATCTGTAAAGCTTGCTGATGTTGAAGAGTCCTGGCTAGAGGTGACCAGAGATCCCCGACTCGAAGCAAGAGATCCAGGACTGCTCCCAGATGAAAGTGACTGAGTGCTAGTAGAGAGGCTAAAAACAAGAAAGGATTATACCAGTTTAAAAAGTTTTCAAAATGAACCTAAAACCATATCTTGTTTACTAGTTTCCTTGCCCTAAACATTTAGCAGTAACATACTATTCAGACGACCAAACTACAGCTAAAGGCTAAAAAAATATTACCGCTGTCAAAAGAAAGTAGGCTACATAAACCATCTTTCTTCAGTTTTGTATCCCTTAATATTCGCTGTAGTTTTTCTCACTGTTAACATGACTCCTATACAACCCCAGAAAATTGGACGAGGTTTACATAGCCTTTTGAAAAAGTTTTAGTACAGGAAGGTCTATACTACAAACGAGACAAGATTAACCGATTCAGTACAACTACCCACCAATGTGCGATGAATGAGAAAAACTATGAGCCAACTAGAATGCTAAGCAGATCAATTTGGATTTAAAGCTGTGTCTATTTTTTTAAATTATACCATTCATTTAGAAAAAGTCTACAGGCCTAACTATATATTTACTAAAACACTGGTCCAAGCATGGTCAAACCCCCTCGCTGCGACACTCCTTTTTAAAGTAAACAATTACAATAAACAACAATTTATACACAAGCCATTCATAATAACCATGTCCTTGCTAATTCATAAATGAATGTTGTATATAAACAAAAGTCACATGATCATGATCACATGGCATTTGTTTAGACACAACATGTAGTCAGGATCACCACAGTTAAGAGAAGATGTAGTGACACTAAATGGTGTATCATATTAGCCATTCATGAACGTCATGTCCTTGCTTGACCTAGTGATCATGAATGAACATTCATAAACAAAAGCCACTGATAATCACTGGGTCATGTAAGGACACTGGGATCAATGGTGACTTACGATTAAAAATAAATTAAAAAAAAGTAGAAATAAATGCTTGATAGCAGTGCCATTGTTTTAGTAAAAAAGAGCAGTAAGTCAGACACATGAGCAGGAAATTCATTTTCTGGAATTCAATACGCATAATTAACTTACCCATTTGCACCACAGCACGTAGCAGCAAGTAAACTCTGGAAATGTTTTGAAATGTATAAAACTGACCTAAAGATATTTTTTTTTCCAAAAGTGGAGTTACATTTTTAAGTATGCATTCAGCAAGGGTGTTTTTGGTAATGTCAATTTTTAGTTTTTTTTATGCATATTGAGTTTTCTTATTTAAATATAGACTGCTACGTCAGACTACAGTGTGTGGTTAGGCATTTAGAACTGTTGATTTTTTTTAGTACATTTGTTAATATGATCAGTTTATTGTAAACAATCATAATAATGGCCATTATTGTTATAAAATGGGGTTCTACTTCCTCAACTTGTGGGAATTATGTCCTTTATAACCCCTTCTCTTCTGTCCTTCCCTTTCCCCCTTTTTCTTCTTTTACCTCCCCTGTACCCTCAAGGACATACTTCTTCAAATTTATCGGTTTCTTATCGGGTTTCCCTATTTATTCTTCGGCCTTGACCTCAGGCGATGTTGTTAACTTGCATTCCATTACTCATTTGAAAGAAGCTGTGTATTGTCAAGATATGCACGTTTCTTTATGTACCCTTCTTATACTGCACTTGGAGGCAATTCCTCGTAATGTCTTTGCTGATCATTTGCTGCCTTTTATACTGTACTTTGCTGGGACTGCTTGTACCTATTTATTGCAAAATATTCAATAAACATATTTCTGGGAAAAAATGGGTCTCTATATAAAGCTTTAATTATATGTATACATGCAGGCAGCTACATTTTTTATTTTATATACAGACTTTGCTCCATGCTTATTGTAGCTTTATAGTAATTGTAATTTACTGAACCTTTCTTCCTGCCTAGACTGACTGAATACAATACAAACCCCTAGGTGAAATATCCTGTAATTGACTTAGGGCTCAAGTACACTGCAGCTGAAAAACTCACGTTTGAACGCTGGAAATTGACAGAAGGTAAACGCAGGTTAAAAGTCAGTTTTGACACGTTTGCATACCGCGTTTAGTCGCATTTATGTTAAGAAGCGTTTTTTAAAGATAAGCACAGGAGAACCTCCCAAATGCCCAGAATGCACTGGAAAGTGGTAAATTATTACCGTATTTTTCGCCATATAAGACGCACCTGCCCATAAGACGCACCTAGGTTTTAGAGGCAGAAAACAGGAAAAAAAAAAATTCTGAACTAATGGACTGCAAACAAAGTACAGGAGATGACCAGAGACTGCGGACAGCACAGGGATGACCAGAGACTGCGGACAGCACAGGGAGGACCAGAGACTGCGGACAGCACAGGGAGGACCAGAGACTGCGGACAGCACAGGGAGGACCAGAGACTGCGGACAGCACAGGGAGGACCAGAGACTGCGGACAGCACAGGGAGGACCAGAGACTGCGGACAGCACAGGGAGGACCAGAGACTGCGGACAGCACAGGGAGGACCAGAGACTGCGGACAGCACAGGGAGGACCAGAGACTGCGGACAGCACAGGGAGGACCAGAGACTGCGGACAGCACAGGGAGGACCAGAGACTGCGGACAGCACAGGGAGGACCAGAGACTGCGGACAGCACAGGGAGGACCAGAGACTGCGGACAGCACAGGGAGGACCAGAGACTGCGGACAGCACAGGGAGGACCAGAGACTGCGGACAGCACAGGGAGGACCAGAGACTGCGGACAGCACAGGGAGGACCAGAGACTGCGGACAGCACAGGGAGGACCAGAGACTGCGGACAGCACAGGGACGACCAGAGACTGCGGACAGCACAGGGACGACCAGAGACTGCGGACAGCACAGGGACGACCAGAGACTGCGGACAGCACAGGGACGACCAGAGACTGCGGACAGCACAGGGACGACCAGAGACTGCGGACAGCACAGGGACGACCAGAGACTGCGGACAGCACAGGGACGACCAGAGACTGCGGACAGCACAGGGACGACCAGAGACTGCGGACAGCACAGGGACGACCAGAGACTGCGGACAGCACAGGGACGACCAGAGACTGCGGGCAGCACAGGGACGACCAGAGACTGCGGGCAGCACAGGGACGACCAGAGACTGCGGGCAGCACAGGGACGACCAGAGACTGCGGGCAGCACAGGGACGACCAGAGACTGCGGGCAGCACAGGGACGACCAGAGACTGCGGGCAGCACAGGGACGACCAGAGACTGCGGACAGCACAGGGACGACCAGAGACTGCGGACAGCACAGGGACGACCAGAGACTGCGGACAGCACAGGGACGACCAGAGACTGCGGACAGCACAGGGACGACCAGAGACTGCGGACAGCACAGGGACGACCAGAGACTGCGGACAGCACAGGGACGACCAGAGACTGCGGACAGCACAGGACGACCAGGGAGACTGCGGACAGCACAGGGACGACCAGAGACTGCGGACAGCACAGGGACGACCAGAGACTGCGGACAGCACAGGGACGACCAGAGACTGCGGACAGCACAGGGACGACCAGAGACTGCGGACAGCACAGGGACGACCAGAGACTGCGGACAGCACAGGGACGACCAGAGACTGCGGACAGCACAGGGACGACCAGAGACTGCGGACAGCACAGGGACGACCAGAGACTGCGGACAGCACAGGGACGACCAGAGACTGCGGACAGCACAGGGACGACCAGAGACTGCGGACAGCACAGGGACGACCAGAGACTGCGGACAGCACAGGGACGACCAGAGACTGCGGACAGCACAGGGACGACCAGAGACTGCGGACAGCACAGGGACGACCAGAGACTGCGGACAGCACAGGGACGACCAGAGACTGCGGACAGCACAGGGACGACCAGAGACTGCGGACAGCACAGGGACGACCAGAGACTGCGGACAGCACAGGGACGACCAGAGACTGCGGACAGCACAGGGACGACCAGAGACTGCGGACAGCACAGGGACGACCAGAGACTGCGGACAGCACAGGGACGACCAGAGACTGCGGACAGCACAGGGACGACCAGAGACTGCGGACAGCACAGGGACGACCAGAGACTGCGGACAGCACAGGGACGACCAGAGACTGCGGACAGCACAGGGACGACCAGAGACTGCGGACAGCACAGGGACGACCAGAGACTGCGGACAGCACAGGGACGACCAGAGACTGCGGACAGCACAGGGACGACCAGAGACTGCGGACAGCACAGGGACGACCAGAGACTGCGGACAGCACAGGGACGACCAGAGACTGCGGACAGCACAGGGGACGACCAGAGACTGCGGACAGCACAGGGACGACCAGAGACTGCGGACAGCACAGGGACGACCAGAGACTGCGGACAGCACAGGGACGACCAGAGACTGCGGACAGCACAGGGACGACCAGAGACTGCGGACAGCACAGGGACGACCAGAGACTGCGGACAGCACAGGGACCACCAGAGACTGCGGACAGCACAGGGACCACCAGAGACTGCGGACAGCACAGGGACGACCAGACTGCGGACTGCGGACAGCACAGGGACGACCAGAGACTGCGGACAGCACAGGGACGACCAGAGACTGCGGACAGCACAGGGACGACCAGAGACTGCGGACAGCACAGGGGATGACCAGAGACTGCGGACAGCACAGATGACTGCTGACCTTTGGGGAGGTGGGGGGCGGGTACCTGAATTTGACAGGTACCCGATCTTACCTGTTCCTCGATCCAGCCGCGCGCTGTCTTCCCGGCTTCTGTAATGGCGTTCGGCATGACAGCCGGGTGCCCAGTACGCATGAGCGAGAAGCACTTGCGCTTTGTGATTGGTCCGGCGGCTTCTGGGCTCTGTCATGTGTCCCAGGTACCATTCACAAAGCGCACCGCTTCTCGCGCATGCGCACTGGGCACCCGGCTGTCATGCCCAGTGCCCACACTACAGAAGCCGGGAAGACAGCACGCCGCTGGATAGAAGAACAGGTAAGGTCCCGCTGCAGAGCTGAGCGGCCGGCCCAGTATTCTGACACGGCCGCGGTGGAAATACCGGACCGGCCGCTCCATATTCGCCTTATAAGACGCACTGACATTTCCCCCCCAGTTTTGGGGAAGAAAAAGTGCGTCTTATACGGCGAAAAATATGGTAACTATTTCAGGCTTTTTCAGAGAAATACAGAGAGTGGAAGCAGAGAAAGCAGTATGTGTTGAGATTAGCTTAGGTGTGAGTTGTCCATTAACATTTCTTTTGTTTCCAAGGGTGGGAAAGGTGTCTGGTGGAGTGAGTCATTAAGGCCACCTGGCAGGGGGTCTTCATGAGGAATTTGAGGTGTGAATGGTCATTAACATATCTTTTGTTTCCAAGGGTGGGAAAGGACTGAGGTGTGAATTGGTCATTACAATGTGTGACTAGCTTGCTAGGAACATCCTGTGTTCAGTGTTTTGTCCATTTGAGTACCTTGAAAACGAATTGCATGCATTTTTCATGATGAAAAAAGGCTCTGGACAGCATCTGGAAATGGAACTGGACAGCATCTGGAAATGGAAGAGTTAAACAAATTTTCCAACCGCTTATAAACGCGGTTAACCGCATTTACAAGCATTTGGCGTTTGAAACGCTGTTAAAATCTACTGCTGAACGCAAGTTTTCTGCATTCAAAAAAAACGACTGTAAACTCAACTGCCTATAAACATAGTGTACATGGACACATAGGAAAACATTAGGGTGAGTTCAGGGGCTGCTAAAATAAAATGCTGAATAGCTCCTAAACGTGAGTTTATCAGCTGCAGTGTACATGAGCCCTTAAATTGAAAAGCAGTTAAAGACAAATGGCTGAATATTTATGAAATATGGAAAACCACCAGAGAGACTCTACAAATCTGTATATGAAATTCCCCTACGAAAATGGCTAACAGCAAGCGAAACTGTGCAAATATCATAGAAAACTACTCAAATAACTAAGAATGCATATTAAAAATACACAGAAAACACACTTTATCACTATCAGGAAATGCTGAAACTTTGCCTAATCAGAATGGCCTGACATTCAGGGGTGAAGCAAAGGGTACTGAAAGCTAGATGAACATACTTTCTACATTTCACCATCATTTGTGTTCAGAAACTATATCTAAAATCAAACCTTTTTTTGTTTTGGATAGAATAGGTAATACTGCTTTACAATCTGTAATATTATTTTGTAAATACCTTCTCAGTTGTATGTGTAGTGTTGCCATTAACCTGGTTGTCTCTTCAAGTTCTCTAACCAACTGATTCCTTTTACTGCACATCTTTAACCTGATATAAGAAAATTAAATGTTAGAAATTTGGCATGTTTAGCAATAATATTTTATTTGTTTAAAAAAATGGTGAGAAAGCAGATCATAATAATAATGTTTACGTAATATTTGATTAAAAAAAAAAAAAGAAAGAAGCAGACCATAATAAACTGGTAACCATTTTCCTGCACTACACTGATGATATATGCATGCTCTGTCTGCACAGCCGTATCATTGATTCACAGGGACCTGCTGGAGCAGATGCCTTGTAGTTCTCAATTGACTATGAGTGTGCTGATCAGCTTTGTCCATTCACTCTTCCTCCAGCTTGTTAACTGAAAGACCATGGGGAGATACAGGCGGAAAACTGGAGGACATGCCTGCAGGAGCTTGACATTGCACCCCCGATCCACTGTGGGAAAAAAATTATAAATTCACTTTTTTCCTGCAAAATACGTGCTTTTACTATTTCTCCCTTACAGATTAATCTAGCCTCTAAGACAGGGGTAGGCAACCTTAACCACTTGCCCTCTGGAAAATTTACCCCCCTTCCTGACCAGGCCATTTTTTGTTATCTGGCACTGCATAATTGTTGTTTTTATTTACACGGTCCCCTCTTTTTTTTTTAAATCACTTTTGTTATCACAGTGGATATTTACATTCCCTGTGATAACAATAGGCAATGACAGGTACTCTTTTCTGAGAAATCTGGGGTCTATTAGACTCTAGATCTCTGCTCTCCCCTTAAAGCATCTGATCATACCAAGATTGATGTGATCAGATGCTTTCCCAATTAAAAATGATGCTGTTAATATTCAGCAAAACAGAAATGATGCAATGCTCGTAGCTTCTGGTTGCTTAGACCATAGAGATAACTGGAGCCATTCAGGTCTCCGATCAGAGCATTTTCAGATTCCCCTGTGGGACAAGAGAGCTAAAAAAACAAAACAAAAAAAAATACATGGCAGGGGGAGGTGGGAGTCCCTTCCCGCTGCTTGTAAAAATGATCAAGCAGGTAATTAGCTGCTAGGATTGCTGTTACATAAAAGCTGACTACAAACTGAAAAAAATATCAGGATGATGCCTGTAGCTGCAGGCATCATCCTGGTATAACCACTCAAAGTCCAGCGATGTACCAGTACATTGCTGGTCCTTGTTGGGCATATATGTAACAGCAGAGAACATGGGTATATGATGACTTGGGTCTGTGGATCAACATGACCACAATTCATTCTTTTTTGTAATGCCCAAGTTGAGGGTCAGGTTCAAAAAAGTTTTAAATTCAGAAACCGTGATAGATTTCCATGCGAATTATCTGGCAAGAGCAGAATCTGGGTTGGCGGTGATGTATTGTCGTGCGTATAAATTGCTTTGACCTACAAAAAGGCCTGGAATATTTCTTAGATACACAGATAATAACTGGATACTAACATTTATAGGTAAAGTTGATCCAGGGAATATCCAATTGCCTCTCGGGGGATCAGGAAGGAATTTACTTTTTTTCCTGCAGGAGAAAATTGGATCATGCGTCGCTGGGTTTTTTTTTGCCTTCCTCTGGATAAACTGTGGGTGTAGGATTGTAACTTTTTTTTTTTGATGGTTGAACTTGATGGAAGTTTGTCTTTTTTTCGGCCGGACTGGCTATGTAGTAGAGGGGATAATTGCTAGTGCTGGCAGCGAACGGGCTAATCCTGCTAACTATACAAAAGAGGCACTAGTATAGTTCTGTTCAGTTCAGTTCATATTGATCTGTACAAACACTATACTAGTAATGGGGGTGATCATCAACCTATAGCGTAGGTGCGATAGTGTGCGGGCAATCGAACGCTAGCTGACCCTGGCTGGTAGGGGAGCTTACTGACCCCGATGTTATCTGATGTTGCTAGTGGCAGTAATACAGTGATCAGTAAAAAAAAATCTATATACTGACACTGTACTAGTGGCACTGGCTGGGTGACAGGGTGATCAAAGGGTTAATGGGGTGATCAAAGGGTTAAATGTGCTAATCTAATGCGTGCGTGTAAAGTGTAGTGCTTTTACTCACAGTGCGGTGTTCTCTCTTCTCTCCCTGGACTGACGAGGGGGCAGCGGGATGCACAGGTGCATTCACACCCCGAAACAGAAAGTGACATAAGGTTACGTCGCTTGCCCAGAGCCGCTGCTTGCCTGTACAATGCGGGCAGGAGGTCAGCAAGTACTGTATTTTTCGCTTCATAAGACGCACTCCCCCCCAAAAAAATGGGGGGAAATGTCTTCTGTGTGTCTTAAGGAGCGAAAATGCAGCGGGCGGCCTGGCATTTCCCGTCGCCGCTGCCGTGTTAGAATACCGGGCCGGCCGCTCGGCTTTTTTTTACAGCAGAACCTGCTCCTGGGTCCTACCTGTTCTTCGGTCCAGCGGTGTCCTCACCACCGCTGGTTTCACTGGCCGTCTTCTCTCCCTGGTGCCGGCATCTTTAGTGTGGGCACCCGGCTATGACAGCTTGCAGCTTCACAGCCGGGTGCCCACTGCGCATGCGCGAGAAGCGCTGCGCTTTGTGAAAGGCCCCGTAGTCTTCTGGGACCTGTCAATGTGTCCCAGAAGACTACAGGAAGGGAGGGAGGACAACTTCCGCCGCGATCACCTAGGCTCTGGTCATCTCCTGCACTGTGTCCGCAGTCTCTGGTCATCTCCTGCACTGTGTCCGCAGTCTCTGGTCATCTCCTGCACTGTGTCCGCAGTCTCTGGTCATCTCCTGCACTGTGTCCGCAGTCTCTGGTCATCTCCTGCACTGTGTCCGCAGTCTCTGGTCATCTCCTGTACTGTGTCCGCAGTCTCTGGTCATCTCCTGTACTGTGTCCGCAGTCTCTGGTCTTCTCCTGTACTGTGTCCGCAGTCTCGGGTCTTCTCCTGTACTATGTCTGCAGTCTCTGGTCATCTCCTGTAGTACATCCGCAGTCTCTGGTTATTTCCTGAACCATGTCCGCAGTCCACTGGTTCAGAATATTTTTTTTCTTGTTTTCCTCCTCTAAAACCTGGGTGCGTCTTATGGAGCAAAAAATACGGTAGTTAAAAATTGTCAATACTGTATTTTTAAAATTAAAAAAATAAATACTTTTATCAGAGTGGTACAATGTTACCATAGTAACTTTGTACTACTCTGGGGGGTGATCCCACTTTGCTTTGCAGGAGCAATAAATATTATTGCTCCTGCAATGCAAACCTAGCTTGGAACGGTCATGAATGAGTTACGTTCATGACAGTTCAAAATAATAGTGATCTGTGATTGGCTAGAGATGCGACTTTCCTAGGTTAGCTTGCTTTCCCATAGACTTCTATTATATCCTGCAGGTGTGGTGCACTTTCTGACAGTGCACCAACACTTCTGAATTCAGGATATAATAAATGTGTATGCCTAAGAGCAGCAAACCTGCAGGTGCACTGCAATTGCTGTATGGGTAAACCACAGTCCATCAGTGTGAAAGCAGCCCTACGCTATTAAACCCAGTGTATTGCTTCACACTGACCTAAAGATCTCTTCTTTTCTGCTGCTGGCACCACTCTGGAAACCGCTAGCTGTGATAAGAGGTGGAGTGCAGTTGATATCACTCTGCATGGAACAGGAGCCAACACTACAGAGGAAGCATGAGCTTATGTGGCTCTTGCTCCCTACTACAGCTCCAACTTTACAAGTAGTCCCTCTGCATTGCACTCTGTTTGATGCTCTGGAATGGTGAGTCAGCAAGCCCAGACTGTAATCACCTGGCCGCGATCTACAGGTTGCTGTCCCCTGCTCTATGGGTGGTAGGTTAAAATACCTTTCAAGTTTATTTTTTCCATGTGTCCCACTGGGGAGATTTCCCTTTACATCCTGTCCCAATAGCTAAACAGGATGTAAGGAAATCCCTGCAAATGAAGGGAATCTTTTGGGGGCCCCCAGGTCACCAGACTAGTGTCCCCATTGGAAGACTTCCCCCTAATTACTGTTCTGAGGAAAACCCAAAATTTGGGATTTTCTTTTACTTTCAATAATGGTAAGGAAGGTGAATCTCCCTAAAAGAAGCAGGGGCAGCAATAAAAATGTGACAGGTGTTCTAGTACCTCTGTCAAAAACTAAAAAAAAAAAAGTTTTGCCTTCATTTATACATTTAAGGACTCATGCACACTGACGTTTAATTTGAACTCCCCTAGAAACCAGCAATGTTTTGGTCGAAAGAAAACCCCCATGCCTGACACTTGTAAATGTGTGTAACGCATTTACACACCCTTACATGCATCAAGCATTTGGGCGTTAATTTCATTGGCCAGAATAATTTATTCTGGTCTTTGAAATAAATTAAAGCTTAAGCACTAAATGCGCCTAGCATTCAGGCATGCTTCCTTTTTTTTATTCTCATCAAGTGTTTTTGCAGCCAAAATGCTGCTGCTCCAGGACCCCTGGCAATGGGTTTTTTTTTCCTGCCACAAAACACTGCTAAAAGGCTATGTGTGCATGGACAGAGAAGTTTAAAGGCAGTATACAAAAAAAAACAAAAAAAACAGCTGACACCCTTAGCAGTAGCTTCAAAAGCATCCAGTGTGCATGAGGACTAAAGAGGGGGTCTTTTAATAATTTTTTATAAAAGCCAATAAAGACAAGCAGGCATTTTGTTCTAGACAAGCAGAAGAGTACCAATTACGCTGAGATGTGAAGGGTAATTTGTAGATCATATCCACAGCTAACAGGTGTTCCTTTGCTAGCACTAAGCTCAATAAGGTCATCTTTATCTACTGTTCTCACTCAAACACATATACAAAAGACATATCATGGATAATATATAGCACAAAATGTAGCAGAATAGAAAAACACAAGGACTGAAGAAAGTAAGCAGAGAAGAAGAAAAATCAAATGTAGTCAGAGCATCCCTAGTGTGTGCTATCAATCTTTTATTAAGTGCTTGCCGACCGCCTGTCCTCAATGTATTGTGGACAGGTGGCAGCTGCAGGTAAACCTACTTATGGGTATGTCTCTCTGGGTGTACTAACACAGGGGGAATGCAGTG